CGTTGGTTAACATCGACCAGACTACACAGCGCAACAACCCAGAAGACAGAAATCTTCATACTCACCGCTGTGAAAACCTAAAATCTTACAGAGTTAAAACCCTATAGCCTTCATCTCAAATAACAGAACAATAATTCCTCCATATCATAATGAATGCTGCCACAATCTGAGAAGTCACCAAGATAAGAATGAAGTGTAGAACATTTTAGTAGCCATTTCATATGCAATAAAGAAACTTTTCTTTATAAGACAGTGCCATGGATAAATAGGCTTGGATAGCTGTGATTATGTCACCCAAGGGCTTCCAGTTACTTCCAGTGGCCAACCTGGCCATGACTATGCTAGCCAACTTGAGGGCACAGGACTTGAGATGTTTCTAACAATTTCTGAAAGTGCACTGAAGGAAATGCAGGTTTGGAAACTATTTTGGTGGGATAAATCTCTACTTAAATATCAAGCATGTTGGTTCAGTGAGCACTCCATAAGTGACTGAGTTAGAACAATGGAGTGTGTGCTGGCACACTGCAAACTGTAACAGTGTCTGAGCAAAGCTGAAGCAATATGCATATGAGAGAGAATGAAAGAACAATTATTACCAGTGTGGAGTGTGGGCAAAATGATTAGGATTGTGATTTATAAACTAACAGAACTGCAATCCAGAAAATAGTTGCATTAGCAGAAAGTATAATAAATTCATACTGTAAAGAACTCAGGAAATTAATTACTGATTACTGTTAAAATACCATGTAGGGTGCATTACAAATATTACATCAACAAACTTACCCACTACCTTAACAATTCATGAACACACTTCCATGATTCAGTGCATGTTATTACCTGTACCTGGGTAGGGTCTTTATGCAGAGGTGCAATGGCACACCATGAGTTCAGCGCACTATAGCGTCGATACCGAATCCATTTCCTACGCCTCACACAGGATTTCCATTGTTTCTTTGGATGAAATGTGGCTGGAAAATCCACTGCATATGTCCAACCCTGAGAAAACAGTTTATCATAATTTAAGACTTATTTTTATTATATCGGTTTAAAACGTCTGATGATATCCTCCGATTCCCTCTTTAAATTGGGGCGTTTAGCAATTGTTTATTTTTTACAAGTGCTGAGGAGCTAGCCCGATGCCTCAACCCCCCAACCTGGACGACCAGGGTATCTTTCTTAGTCTGGCACATCACCTTCAGCTTAACACTTTCAGTCCTGTACAAACTATCCTGCAAGTTCACCATTTCAAACATATAAAAAAGGAACTAACTTAATAATTGTGTGTCCCTCTCTATGCGTTCTTTACATGATGTGCATAAAATGAATGCATATAGGGTTGACTATGTCTGTCTGTCTATTGCCATGACTCAATTTAAGAACCACTGGACAAATTTGGATGAAATCTGGTGTGGACACTATGACATTAGGGTCTACCCTAAAATAATACTTTTTGGTTTCCTTCAATGCATAATACCAACATGCTGAACAAACAAACTTGTGAGGTTAGATTAACACTAGAGCATTTAAAACAAGGTTACACAAAGATGTACCGTTATAGATTTTTTAAATTCAAAACTTATGAAAGTAATTCTTTCTATAAACCAAAATAACAGCTGCATAAAACAAAAATAAATTGACTTGATCAGAATTTATCCCATAACCTCATGCACCAGAGTCCAGTACACTACAACACAGCTAACTTGCATTGTGTCAAATTATTACTGACTCAAAAGTCCTTCAAGAAGACAACAGAACACATAGGTATAATCAGAAACTAAAGTTGTCTAAGTAACATAACGTGAGACATCTTTAAAAATTTCTCTTGCTTTAAAGTCACAGATAATGAAACATTCAATATTTATCACAGGCTATGCATCACACCTGTTGATTAATTTGTAATACAAAGTCAAGGTCCTGTAATTATATGCTGTTCTCTTAACAATCACTTTCCAAAAAACAACTGAATCAGTACAGACGAAAAGAAAAAAACTTTTAAAAAGTACATTCATGCATTTCAATTAAAATTGTTGAAAGTATAAATATTAGATTGAAACTTCTCATTTCTTCTATTAATATGAAGATAAGTAGGTATGTGTCTTGAGTTGAAGAGATATGCTTATGTATCTACATCACCTGCTATCTACTGCTGTGCATATGTGAATAATATTGGCAGTACAGCTTGCATAATATACGTACATGATATGACTTCTTTTTCTTTCTTTCAGCTAGGAGCATTCTGCATTCAAATTTGCAAAGAATACATATGGAAATTGTTTATTCTGGTATAGATTACACCTACTAGGCCAGTGATTAAAAAGTGGGGTACATACAAGTTTCATATCCGTATACTTCATGATTTGCTTTGTGAAGCGATTACTTCTAGAACAGCTGACAGTCACTGAGTTAGTCTTTCCCACCTTTTACAGAACAGCCTGTCACTGGCCATTACCCTGAGCCAAATACACTACACATCCTCACACCCTATTTGTTTAAGAACCATTTCAACACTGCAGTTCCATCTATGCCTCAGTCTTCAAAATTGTCTGTTCCCTTCATGCTGTCAGATTAAATTTTGTATGAATATTTCATCTCTCCTATGTATGCCACTCACATTATTACTTGGTACTCTGAAAACAGGAATATGTTTAAGCATTTATTTGATATATTTGTATTTCTGTTATTCCCTCCATATCCTACCTGTGTAATATTTCATTCAAGCGTACATCAAACAAAGCTGATAACAATGGGCATCTTTAACACACATCACAGTTAAGTGCTGTAGACAGAGATAAAATAATAATAATAATAATAATAATATAATTATTTTATTTAAATATTTGTCACTGCTTGCAGTTATTTAAAATTTGAGATAATTTTGTCTCTCATTATGTCTAAGCGTACTGTCAAATGTTTTTTTATAATCCAAAAATAATCACTCTAAATTATATTCTCATGATTTTTCAATGAATTGTTTAAAACAGACTACCGCATAAGAAGGCCTACAAGGATTATTTCTTTAAGAAGCCATAACCATTTTGTTGTATTTACATGATTAAACACCAGACCAGAACAATTCTGAACTAAATGGTAGCAAGAATTTCCCATATTTAAAGTCCTCCTAATTTTATTGTAAATATTTTGTCATGCATCAACTTTCTGTACAGTGATTACTAAGAAGCTTGATTTGAGCTTCACTTGAAGTAGCAATTAGATTACATTAGATCAGATCAAACTAAAAGGGGATGAGCATCAACAAGCCCTGTACCATAAACTTCTTCAATTTACTTTGAACCTTCTATCTTACACAGTGTAACAACCCAGAAGCCAACCATCTTCAGACTTGCTGTCACGAGAACCTCAAATCTCACATTAAAAAATATGATATTTTCTTCATACAGTGCAAAAACCATTCCTTGAACTTAAAACCCCAACATTTATGTGAGGCATAGATTAAAAACCCAGCAATAAATGTGTTAAATTACACCGTATTAGTCTTAACAATAAATGTAACAGTACTGACCAAAATTTAAGAGTTGTAACATTCAGACAATCTGTACTACACTTACATCATGATCTAATGGTTGTCCATCAAGTGTTGTCTCTAGATGCCAATCACCTTCCCATTGCCATGCCATGGATGGTAATCGGATCTTATCTAAACTGCGATCATGGGACCCATCTTGACTAGAATAATGAAATCTATCAGTCGGAAGAAGGCGTCCACTAAATCCTTCCAAGGGAAGCCAACGCTGCAAAATATTCTAGTTAATATAGTTCAGTGCGTCCATATGTACCCTGCATACAATAAAAACTCACACAAACAATTTATATGGATGATGTAGACATACCAAACCATTTTTCACAAAACATACATCATTTTGGCACAAAAAAGGTCTGCTCAAATTTTTATGCAAATTAAAGTATACTACAACATTATAAAACAGACATTATTGATAATGCTTTCTAATCCTACATCCCAGTTTTGGGCGATATGGTATTTTGTGCAGGTATTCTTAAAGGAAAGCATGTGGAAAACAAACAAGGAAAAGTGTAATGTAAAACTAAGAAACTGAGTCATAACTGAAGCTGAAACTATTATGTCTGTCTTCTGTTGATGAACAGTCCATGCACCACATATCTACAGAAGTTCCCACGCATGATGTGAACTAACAGAAAAACTGTGGCAAGAACTGTATTAGCCTCAATCTAAAGCAGTGTTCTGCAACCTTTACTCACCTGTGGCATATCCTAATTTGTCAAAAACATATAACAGCACACCACAAAACTTTGCCTCATGAATAGAAAATACAAAACTATAGATGTCCACATGCACGCGCACACACACACACACATACATACATAAATCCTTGTCCTCTAAGTGTACAGGTATATAAAAACCAAACATAATACAAGTTTAGCTGTATTATTAGCAAGAAGATGCTGAGGAAAACATAAAAAACCTAAGTGACAGGAGGCTGGACATACTTACATAATGAGGAGCTCTATAATCTGCACACCTTACCAAATATTATTAGGGTGACCAAATAAAGCATGATGAGATGGGAAAGGAATGTGGCAAACATGGGGAGATGAGATACGCATTTTGGTTTGAAAGCCTGAAGGTAAGAGACCACTCAGAAGACCTACGTATGGATGGGAGGATAATGTTAAAATGAACTAAAAGAAATGGGGTAAAAAAAATATAGACTGGACTTGTCAGGCTCAGAATATGGGCTTTGTACTGCTGCATTAACAAATGTGTACTCATGTATTATCATGTGTGGACTGCTGTATTAACATACATAAGGTACAGAAGCAAACTTCAACAAAAATGACTACGGAATGTAGTTTCTAGGTGGACTATTCTGCCATGTAATCGTCTGGTTTTGTACTAATAATTTGGAGCAACACACTGCTTTCAGGATGTTTCCTTAAAACACTGGTATACAGCCAGAATACAACACAGTGTTACAAACCAGATACCATGACCTAAAATCACACTATCACGAAAACCTCATAAAAAATTTAAGTAAAAGCAAACCACAAGACTATAGGTGAATGGATAATTTTAAGTAACAGATTTAAGTAGCTCTAACAATGACCCCCAGTCAAGCAGAGTGCCTGATCCCACAGGAAAAGTGCAGGCAGGCAGGCAGACAGACAGACAAAGATGGGCCCATCAGGTGTTCTTCACTCATGCTAGTGTGTGAAGAACACCTCATCAACTACTACAAGGATTGGGCCCATTGACCCATTCTGTGATAGTTGCTCAAGGCAACTTGTCCTTATTAGACTTGTATGGTGCATTTGAATAATGAGTGCCAAGCCCAAAGCCTCTGTACAATTTCTGCTCATTCCCGAATGGTTTGTTAGAGCCATCTAGTAGAGAATCAGGAGAGACATGGGTGAGAAATGGCCACTGAATAAACCTCTACACAACTCACATCTTTGAGAATTTTCTGTACTTCCCATTACAGTAGACACAATTATATGACCTTCAGTTATCTGAGATGCTAAGAGTCATAATGAAGGCTTGAATTCTATTGACACTGCATTTGCTTAAATTTAAAAACAAAGGGCAGTGATAACAACAGACATACAACTGTTCGGGTAATGGCATGACCTTGCTGCAAAAAAGAGTAAGGAAGGCTCAGAAGCAAATACCCATTATTAATTTCTTAAAGAAAATAAACTCTTTCATTTACAAATGTACATTATTTTAAATACTATTTTTTGTTTTTGACATTTTTTCATTTGATACTGTATGTTCTACATAGTTTAATAATATCATAAATTTAATTGATATTTACAACATTTTTTTTCATTAGTCTTCTGTATTATCTGAACGTCCTTCAGTCCTGTTTAGGTCAGATAATCGTAACTCTACTGTACTTTCTTCTGCAAGGAAAACCTTTATCACTGACAGCTGAATTTGCCCTTATGATTTTATCAGAATTAAAGGATGCTGTCATTTAAGAGTTCTACACTAACTGTCTATCAATGGAATCACTGAGTAACTTCAGCTTTTGGTGTTATGCCATGTAAAATGTTGATAGTTATCCAACATTTTGGCAAATATTCACGGTAAATGTATAGAGGCTGGGCATGTTTTGAAGCCTTTTTAGATAGGCAGAAGGTGGGGAGGTTTTGGAAAAACTTTAAGACGTGTTGATAACAGCAGTAACTGAATCAGAGTTTTGTTTAGTTGCCTGTCCAACATAAACCAGTGGGCTTCAGTTAACTCCAGATTTGTTAATGAAGTGCTCCATAACAACCTTAAGACAAATGATTCTAATGTATCTATAACTGCTAACCAAACTGTAAAGATACATACTTCTTAACACTCAGAACCTTTTCACCACATAATAAATAAACATTCCACTATATTAGCACCAGCAGAAACAATGAAATGCTACTAATGATTTTGGGATATTCCTTGTCTTGCCCATACTTAAAAATTATCACAATCAACAGGTCTGTTGAACTAACATCTCAATATATCTGCAAATTCCATAACAAAATCAGGTAACAGGTCAAGGGAGATTATTGAAGGAGTCAATCTTTGATTCCCTGAACTTACCTCATTTTCATATGCCTCTTCTTTAATGCGAATGGGAATGTCCAAACCGTGGACATGGACATATATCTGTCTGTCTCCACCAACTGCCCACATAAAATGTGGAACTGCAGACAAATGTTTGAACTCCAAGCCGAGATACACAAATTCTCGCCACTTTGTCCTGCTAGTCGAAAGTCCGAACACACGACCCTCATTGTTTATGGCAAATAAGAGCGAACTAGGCATTTTGCAGAAAACGGACAAGCAAACTTCAGTATTCTTTAGATAGTACTGGTATACATGATTGCAATGACGTACAGGGGTATATCGAGACCCCGGAGCAGCAACTTCGGGCTCGACACGTATTATACTTCATCTATGACAGCTACACAACATTTCTGTACTAACAATGAAAAGAAACAACACTATGTTCTGTTTACAGTAACATTTATCCTTAAATATGAATTAATTCACTAGCCAGTCTTAAATCGAATGACAACCTACATGTGTCCTGATCCTTCCCGAGCACAGAGTCGTACACTAACTAAGGATAATGTTTGTAACAGTCTGTGCCTCTGAACAATCCCAGTGTTAATAATCTGTTCCCTCTTCTCTTCATAAACCAATATTAAATGTCAAATACAAAAGTCTTATATCAGTCTATATTCTAAATCAAGTTCTTTCATGCTGGCGACATCTTTCGATTGTAGCGTATACTTCGTTACAATAACTCGACCAGCATTCGGTACACGTATCGATTGCGGTGAGTGTGCAACTATTGGCTGATTTAGACTGAAAATGTGAGGAGTATTTAATTCTGCCACCGAAAAGTGATTAGTACGATAATAGTAACTCCCATAAACACGAAATAGCCAAGGAATATCAGCATCGAGAAAGTAGAGGTTAAACAAGTCAAGGTACGCCCTACGAACATGCCATCAGAGAAGTAACAAGACGACACAACGGGGAGATGTAGAACTTGCAAGAAAGCAGTCACCAACGACAACTGCTCAGTAGAATGCGAGAGCTCCAGCACTTGGTCCCACCCAAAATGCTCCATGACGCAAGGCGAGTTCGACACCCTGAAACGAGCAAATTGCAAACTCACATGGTTATGCGATAACTGTAAACTGATATTTCGGAGATTGAACTCAATATAAAATTCGTTAACCCAGCTGACCCAAAAAGTGGACTTCATACTTGAATTCCTAACAAAGAAAGAAAGAAATCTAGAAAATCTAAACAAATAAGAGCACCAACGCTGCGGAAATACGCAGGGATGAAAAGCAAGAGACACTATCAACAGTAAAAAGAGAACAACCCAGAGCCTCTGAACAACGAACCGCAGCCGGCATAACAAAAGAAACCCAGCCCGCGGCGGAAAAAAGAGAAAGGAAACAATCAACAAAACCGGCAGTGCCGCAAATAAACCAACACTGACAGGAAGAACACAGACGACGAGGAGACGTCCGCCCACAAACGAAATCACAAGAGAAAGATTCAGAACCAGCTACGCAAATACCAGGGGCCCCCTGGACGGAGGTGATAAAGAGACCACGCCAGCAACTTAAGATCGCAGGCACATTAAAAGCCGGGGAACGTACAGCATGGTTGTAAGTAGGGAGGTTGCACTGAACAACAACAACCGATACCATCAAGACTTACCTAACGGACATAACCGGGACGGTAGAATGCAAACAATTTGAAAGCAAAGAAACAAACAAAGCCTTCAAAGTGGTAATTCCCTTTGACCAACTGGAGAGAACAAGTCAGCCAGCGTTCTGGCCCAGAGGAGTACATGTTTCTTGGAGGCTCAAGAAATAACGGAAATAGACTGGAAGAACAAGGAAGACCCACACTCCCCCACGCAAAGGAAGGGAAGAATAGACCTACTTCCATGGAACGTCAAAGGCCTCAAATCAACAATAAAACAATCACCGGAAGACATAATGAGCGATCCTAACAGAAATCCTCTTAACCGAACACATAAATATACCAGGGTACTATTCCACGCAAAACAAAACTTAAACGGCAGACCCCATGGAGGAGTATCATGTCTCTACAAAGCAATAGGGGAAATAATAATGGAACACAAAGGAGAGAACCGAATCCACATAACCACAAACAACAACAGCAATCAGCAGGTTAGACGACAAGAAATTCACAATCCTAGCAGGAGGCCTGAATTGTAGACTGGACAAACCAGACACAAAAAGCAGCACAATATTAAACATGCTAAAGGAGGAAGGCTTCACACTGGAGAATAAAAGACATGATAACCTACATAGCGCCAAATGGAACCAGCAGCACAGACCTAGTATTCACAAGAGGAAAGGAAATTGCAGTAAACTACCAAGAAGCAAAGTCCGCACCACTCAGAAAACATATTCCCATACTAACAAGAACAGAGTACAGCAAGAGAGAGCAAGAAACGAAGAAAAAACAAACACAGGTCCTCTCAAGAAAAATCTAAAGATACCACAGATACAAGAGATCCGAAAAGACATAGAGCAGAGCGAACTAGACAAAACCCCAAATCACTACAAAAATATCACCAGAAAGGAGAGCAAAAATCTGGAAGGGAAGGGAGATCCAAAGGACCCAAACATGTACAGAGGAGTGTTTACACAATGTTCAAAACACTAACAGACATAAACACCAGAAGAATAACCCCAAGCCTCGACCGGGCGTTACCAACCATTTCGGCTTCAGACCCGGTAGATCAACGATGCAGGCCATAACCTCACTAATAACAAACACAGGAAACACTACAACGCACACACAAGGAAAGTACTACACAATATTCACAGATTATAGCAAAGCATTCGATATGTTAGACAGGAACATAATGAGAGAAAACTCACTCACAAAATTAATAAGAACTCTAACACAATCTGAAGGCCTGTACGCACTAGGGCACATGTTGCGATACAAGTTGAGCGACTTGTATCAGGGGACAATGCGAAGCGACATGAAACACCGATACATCCGTCCACATTGTATGTTAAGATGTCGGAAGAGGAGGTGCTGTTGACCTGTGCATTTAGCTGAAAAGAAATCGAAGCGCAAAAAAAGAGTGTGGGTATTAAAGTTTTTAGAAGAAAGGGATACACGTTGTGTACTCTCAAACCTACAGATGTCAGACGAATCATTTTGCAACTTCACCAGAATGACAACTGATTTCGAGGAACTGTAGCAAATGGTTGGGAGTATCCCTGCATCCCTGGAAATCTTTCTTTGTCAGCCTGTCAAGCACCATCTGCGATTCTGCCTGAATCTCTTCTATCGTCTCAAATCTCCTTCCCTTTAGCTGAATTTTCATCTTGGGGAAGAGGAAGAAGTCACAC